AAGGTAAAGGTAAAGCACCGTATATGGGTAGAGTAAAGGTAAAGGTAAAGTACCGTATATGGGTAGAGTAAAGGTAAAGGTAAAGCACCGTATATGGGTAGAGTAAAGGTAAAGGTAAAGCACCGTATATGGGTAGAGTAAAGGTAAAGGTAAAGCACTGAATATGGGTAGAGTAAAGGTAAAGGTAAAGTACCGTATATGGGTAGAGTAAAGGTAAAGGTAAAGCACCGTATATGGGTAGAGTAAAGGTAAAGGTAAAGCACTGAATATGGGTAGAGTAAAGGTAAAGGTAAAGTACCGTATATGGGTAGAGTAAAGGTAAAGGTAAAGAACCGTATATGGGTAGAGTGAAAGTAAAGGTAAAGCACCATATATGGGTAGAGCAAAGGTAAAGGTAAAGCACCGTATATGGGTAGAGTGAAAGTAAAGGTAAAGCACCATATATGGGTGGAGTAAAGGTAAAGGTAAAGCACCGTATATGGGTAGAGTAGAGGTAAAGATAAAGCACTGTATTTGGGTAGAGTAAAGGTAAAGGTAAAGCACCGTATATGGGTAGAGTAAAGGTAAAGGTAAAGCACTGAATATGGGTAGAGTAAAGGTAAAGGTAAAGTACCGTATATGGGTAGAGTAAAGGTAAAGGTAAAGCACCGTATATGGGTAGAGTAAAGGTAAAGGTAAAGCACCGTATATGGGTAGAATAAAGGTAAAGGTAAAGCACCGTATATGGGTAGAGTAAAGGTAAAGGTAAAGCACCGTGTGTGGGTAGAGTAAAGGTAAAGATAAAGCACCGTTAATGCAGTGGTGTTGTCGAGCCGGAACGCGCCGTAACGTCGTTCCGGAAAATTATTAAATAAAAAAATCGCTGCACACAGAAAATAATTTAATAAGTGAATTTTTAAGTATGTTTTAATTCAACTATTTTTTATTAAATGTTCCTATTATTGTAATAAATATACATATATGTGCACAAAATAGGTTTTGTGATAATTTTTGTTCCTTTCCTTTTCGAAAGAAACCGGAACAAACATGAAAACCGGTTTTTGAACCGGTTTTTAAATTTTAGCGTTCCGGCAAAAAAAATATTAGCACAACACCACTGAATAGGGTGAACAATGTCTTGTACAAACATAACTCAAACATAATAGATAATTATTTCATTGAATACATAATAATTTTAAGGATTTTACAGATATATATATTTTATATTGGAATGTTGGCATTGTGTACCAATAGACTGAAGAATGTCCTGTAACACCAACATAGGATAGATTGATTGACGCAAGAAATTTCATATTAAAATGTTGGCATTGGTTACATAATAGAGTGAACAATGTCTTGTAATATAAACATATATTAATAATAATAATAATATATAATAATGTAATATATATTTATTCATACAAAATGTTTTATATTAAAATGTTTTAACATCGTTAAAATACTTTTTTTTAAATAGAAATATTCTAATTAATTTATATGTAAATGCAGTTTATATTATTTTAATATATGGAGTTTGAACAGAAAATAAACAAAGTTAATAAATAGTATAAACAAACAGATTTTATTATTTATTAAGTATAAAAATAAATATTGATAAATCAAATCATAACTCAATAACACACTATCTAATTCTCTTTCTATTTCTGTATACCTTATGTGCATTTTGAATTTATATTGTTAAAGTTGAAGTTAATAAGTATTTTGCAATCAATAAACATTTGTTTAATAAGTATTGTAATATATCTTAAACATGCCATACATATCGGCAATAAAAAATGTTCGAACATAATAGAAAAAATAATTATTTATCAAAATTGTGCAAATCGATTGCGATAATAATTTTATAGTATTCTAATAACATATATTTCGGTTAGTCTTGTTTCCAAGCAAACATTCCAACCGTTGAATGTCCTAAGGCATATGGTCCGTACAGTGCGTGCACCCCGACTCGCTCGCACGTCTTCGACATTCTTCGTTGAGCTACGCGCGATGCATTCGTTCACTAAACCAAACGCAGGTAGTATCGCGCTAAGAAAACAGTTCTTTCACAGATCTCGTCGGACTACTTTGACAACGTATATTTAATGTACTAATTATAATTATATTGTTTATAGTTGGTTTTTAAAATACACTTTACATTGATAATTATATATTGTTAGAGTTTTTAGTGTCTTGTGACTTAAGTGATTTAATTCAAAGTTCAGTGATTGATATACGTGTTTGCAAGATTTATGTTTTAATGTCTCTATATTAATCGTATTTATAATTTATAAAGTGGTTTTATTGAATTAATATTATTGTGTTTAGTGTAATAATATTGTTTGTTAAACCTTGTGTTTTCTGCGTTGAGAGTCTCTACATTGTTGTAGTTCTCACATTATTGTACAATCGCGAATGATGCAGACAAAACACAGACAGATCTAATCAGAGTGGGTTATTGGAATGGGCGCGCTGACTGAAATGTGATTGTAATCTCCAATTTAAGGTAATATAAATAAGTTCTCATAATATCCACTGATACTTATGCATCCATTTACCATCAAATACTATATTTATACAAAAACTTCAATGATTTTCTTACAAATTTCCTCATTTTTTCTCCACCTGTTCCAGGAAGTCTATGAGCGGAACATTGCACAATAATTGTCCCTTCAGGCTATCATATATCTTAACGGAAGAATTGTTCTCTGAATGCAATATCGTTCCTAAGAACAATATGATATAATATAAGGAGTGTAGTTGAATTGAAGTTCTTCTTGAAACTTTTGTTGCTTTCTTCATTGTTAGCTTCGGTCAGAATGATATACCCGCTTTTATTCTTGATCATTTCCGTGTTTAACAATGGTATAAATAGATTTGTTCCTAATAGAACGGCCAGAGACGTAATGATTTTCAGATGTCGGCTTAAGTATTAATGAGAGATACAAAATACCTGAATTTCATTACTCAGCTATCAGTATTTATTTTATTTTGCCATACAATCTCAATCTCTACTTTCTTCTTTTTGTCATTTTCTATAAGTTTTCTATCGATCTCTACATTTTCTTATTACTTCTCAGATAGAGTTATTTGTTATTTAACCTGCTTTTATATTGCAGAATTACTCTGTCGGAAAATTTTGAAATAATTGTCAAATTCCTTAAAATGCAGCCTTTCGTTATGTATTTTCATCACCTGGAACCCAAAATTTATTGTCAATTGCGTACCTTTCAAGTGGTAATTATTTTGAGAGATGTTTCTGAATTTATTAGCTAATAGTAAATGATAATAAGATTTTTTAACTACTCTATTATCTAAAAATATTTATGTGCAATGCGTATATCCTATTGCAAATATCCGTGCATCTATTATTCAAAATTTATTAGAATATCTTAATTGTCTTTAATGATTTAAAAAAATATCAAGTTTACCCCTTTAGATATTTTAGTTTTGCACATTGTAAATTTTGCATCATAATGAAAATGAATGCTATAGCATTCACGTCCGCGAACGTGTTAAATTTAATATAGATCAAAAATACGCAAAAAAATCGTTCATTAGATTACAAATTAATTATTACGAAGGTATACATGAAAGTGATTTTTATTGTAAAATATTCATTCAAATAGAATGCTCATGGGAGATGTTTTATATCTAAAAAGTAAAATATAATATACATTAGCTTACAAAACTTTAGTTTTCAAGAAATAGTATTTGACTTCTTTTAAGGTAACTATTCTGTAATTTTGAATAAGATAATAACATACCAAAATATTATCTTTTTGAAGTTTTTTCAATTTTTATGCGATTTGATTTATATATAATTTCCTTAATAAAACAAAAATTTGCTAGTTTCTCTTTTTTAGATTTGTAGTTCTTATTTTACTTATTGTTAGATCTAACTTAATGTTTTTTTTTATTAATTTTTTATCTTGGCATCTGTATACATCCTTATTGCCACAATCAAATAATTACAAATAATAATATCTAGAGCTATTATTAACTAAACTAGAGCTTAATGTTCTAGTCTGTCAAAAATAATATAGATAAAATAATATAATATGGCTAATAATAATAAAATAATCGTATAAATCTTGTATTTTTTAAAATTTTATTTTATAAATTCAGGTTGTTTTTAATATATGCAATGCAAAATATTTTTGATAATACTTTAGTTTGAAAGGCATTTATATTTGTCAATAGTTATTGATATAGACAAAAAAATAAGTGCTATAAATTGTTTTTAATGTTGCCTAAATTTTTTATTCTGTTTTGAACATAAAGTTCGTTTAATTTATATATAAACTAGTCGAGCCTTAAGGCAAATTTCTGGAACTTCCCTTTAGATTATTATAAATACTGTAACATTGTCTAATATTTATAAGAGTTATATAAACTGAATTACAAAGTTAAAATTATTTAGTTAAAGTATTTAAGTAAGCTTTAGAACTTTAGCCAGAATTAAAATTAAAATCAGAATTATTACCGGTATACCAAAAAAAAAATTTTTTTTTGGAAAAAAAAGTAATTATTTTGTCAAAACATGCAGAAAGTTTTTTGAATCATTCAAATGCTTAGTTCTCTCAAAAACTGCAATTTTTACACATTTAGCTCGGTATCTCCGAAACGGCTGGAAGTGCCTTTGATAAAAACGAATCACCACTTCTCCCCGTCATTACGAATTGAATGTTTTTTAGATCATTCCAATCGGATGTTCCATTTTCTCAAAAACTCAATTTCTATTTTCTGCACTTTTTGCTCCGTATCTCCGAAACGGCTGGACCTGCCTTTGCCAAAAACTAATCAGCACATCTCCCTATTAATGGGGAATCGAATGCTTTTTGACCCATTCAAATCGGTTAATCCGTGCGCCCGAAAACGTGGACAAAAAATTGTATCCATACATACACACACAGACATCCATTTTCTCTGAGGTATGCCTAAATGTTCAGAAACCTTTAAATGTGAAGAAATGTAAAAATTTTCAATTTCGATTTTTGGACGATTACAATAACTTACCCTACGGAAAGTTAAAAATAGCTTAAACGCCTGCATTATTATTATGTGGCATATAATTAAATCCAATAAAATATTTCATGCATTTAAATTATATAATTATCTATATTAATTTTATTTGACATTGTCATTAATATGTTTTCATTCACATATCAACATCGATAAATTTCTATGGCATCTATTCTTGTGTTAGTTTTACCATTAATGTGCATAATTACTGTATAAGCAGCTTCGTAGCACATGTCTTCAGAGATGTGCAGGCACGCGATGAGATCTTTAACATGGTTTTTTCTGATTCACTCTTGTGTTCAAGTTTTTTCTTTCATTATAATTGGGAACCGTGAAATTAAAAAACAAACCTCACGTATAACTTCACTTTTTCAATGTCTACATAATATTATAGTCAGAATAATTATGGAAATCAACTTTTGTCTGGAATCTGTGTTGTTTGTCATGCACGATTAGAATAGAAAAAGTAGTAATAGTACCTTCGTATCATATACCTTAGTATAATTGTACTTTCAGGTGTATTCATAGGTGCTTTTTTAAAAAGTTAATAAGATAATAATTAATGATTTTATTTTTCCATCTCCTTTATGCAGCGAGCTTATGTGCCCTTACATAAGAAATTGCGTTCGTTTCAACTGTTTTTCAATTTTAAATTGCGTTTGTTTCAATTTTCTTCTACACCGTATATTTTCTTTGGATTTGTGAAGTTTATAAAGTCCTGCCCAGTCCTGTCACTCTATTTTCTGCAGTTTCAAGTGTTTCAAGTGCATTTCAATTCGGTTTGTTTCAATTTTCTTCTAACTTTTTTAAGCAAAAAAAAAAAATTAAAGGTTTCTGAACAATTTCTGAACACATACCTTAGAAATGAACATAGTGTGTGTGAATGTGTAAGTGTGTAGATATGTACGGATACAAAACATTCGATTCCTATTGATAAGGAGACGTGCTAATTTGTTTTTGGCCAAGGCAAGTTCAGTTGTTTCAAAGATACACGACAAAAAGTACCAAAAATTCTCAGTCCTGCCACTCTATTTTCTGCAGTATGCAATATTTTACTTTCTAATTCTATGAAAAGCTTTTCATTTTCAATTATTAGTATTTATTGACTATAAGGTTCTATTGGATTGAATTGAATTGATGGTGAAACTGAAATGTATAGAGCTTTGTTTATACCTTTTTATTATTCTCTATTTTATTTACAACTGTCCAGTTAAGGACATTTAATAAATTTGGGAAATTTACAATTGTCAGCTTTGAAGGGACATTGTATACTAAATGGGCATGTTGGAAAAACAAGTTATAAATAATTTCTTATAAATAATGACTAAGATATTTTAATCTTTATCAGGAGAATTGATGACTTAAATCCAGTGGCGCTTTTCTTTATACTTAACACTGATATTTTTATACAGTTTACTGTTTTCATATTAGAAGAAGAAATTAGAATAATCTATAAATGCAAATTTAAATGTAGAAGAGTCTATTATGATATTTTAATATTATATGTATGAAATTTCTATGAAACTGAAATCCTGACAAATTAGATAAATGATCTGATCTTTTATATTTATTTTTTTTTATTGAGAACGCTTTTTTTACTATATTACTTCTTTCACTATATTTTTTCAGTAGGATAATTCGATAGGGTATAGCAAAAAAAAAGTTTCTGACAATTTGGCATACTTTAGAAATGAATATTGTGTGTGTATGTGTGAGTGTGTGTTTGTATGTGTGTGCGGATACAAAACATTCCATTCCTATTGATAAGGAGACGTGCTGATTATCTTTTGGCCAAGGCAGTTCCAGTTGTTTCGAAGATTTTTTTTAATTACTATATTTGTTACAACTGCTAAATAATTTAACATCTAGTAACAATAATGAACAATAATATAAATTAAAATGAAAAGAGTACAATATAAAGTAGTATGTTGATTTAATATAAAATAAAAGCAAATAATAATAATAATAAAATTAATAAATAAAATACATAAAATTTCTAAATAATAAAAATGATACTAGAAAAACAATAAAGTAGAATAAAAACAATAAGTGACAGATAATAATAAATATAACACAATAACAATATTAGAAATAATAAGATAATAATAATAATAATTCAAAGATACGCGGCAAAAAGTACCAAAAATGTTAATTCAGTTTTTGAGAGTACGGAGCGTCCAATTTCAATAATTCAAAAAACATTTTCTTTGTATTGACAAAATGAAGAACTGATTAAATTTTTGGGTAGGCAGGTCTAGTGGATTTAGAGAAGGTGTGAACAAAGTAAAAAAGCACATCAAATTGTCAGATATTTTATAAAGACTTTAATAATGAATACAAATTATGCTTACATTTCTATGGATATCGTACCAATGTTTAACCTGTAGACTGCGATGCGGCGCTTACGCGCTTCTGTATTTTTCTCTAAAACAGCCACGCAGCATGATTGCTTTGAAAAAAAGTTCAGTCTTCAAAAAAAAAATTAATTTCAATTTTTGGTATGGAAAGTTTCAGCACTTGCCAACCACGATGCCATGCACCACTAGTCATACACATATTTATAATACCTTTTAGTACATATATGAAGTTTCTTATAGTTACAAGGTATCTATGTCCTTGTGGTTTTTGTGTTATTTTTGCCACATAATTAATATTATTTAGATTAAAGTAATAGTTAAGTGATTTTTTTATAGTTCAAATAATTGGTTTGTTATGAAACTATGAAATGAAGATAGATATTCATGTTGTAAATTTATAGATTGTATATATTTTTTCATATTAAATGTAATAAAAAATCTTAAAAAAACTAAAACTAAGGTATCTATGCCTATTTGTGTCAGTATATTCTATCAGCATTTTTAAGTTTCCTAAATACAACATAATGTATTATATTATTTTATTACCATTTCTTTATTGTTTACTCGTCATGGGTAAAAGATGTGTATCGGCGCGCGACCTCTTTTTCAAGAAAACAATTTGTCGTATTTTAGCAGGAAATGAAATGACATTCCAGGATGTAGGGAATAGGGTAATATTTAGGGAATACATAGTTTTATTTTGAATGAATTTGCTTGCTCAAACATGAAAATGTTTTTTATATGTTAAATAACTTTTTATTAAAATATTGTTTCACTCTATGATATATTTTTAATACCATGGTTAAATGAGAAATGCAAATTAAAAATAAATTCGAAATCAATAATTGAATCTAGTTTTCCTATTCTTATTAGCATGTGACATTTTTGAACCGTATGAGGCGTATGAGTTTAATATGTAATATATTTTAGTTTGAATGTTATTTTACTCAATTCTAAGAAGTAACGCCAGATAATTTAAATTACCTCAAAGTTTACTATTTCTCACATAAAATTGCTGAAAATAACTGAATTGAATCTGAATAAGTGTAAGAAACAATAATTTCTTATCGATATTTTTTGTGTTCAAGAAATGCGAATATGCCACAAAGTAATGCATTTTTCATAGAAAGTAAATTTGGTATTGGTATAGGATTATAAAAGATTTTGATATAATAGTAACATATTGAAGAGATATTAATTATGGGTTCTCTTCTTGATATATAAAAACAAACACTTTTTAAGATTTACAGATTTTATTTTAAATTGTAACTTATATTATTGGGTGTTGATATTTTTAATCTGTACTTATTGGCGGTTCAAACATAACAAACTCCCGCTCAATAATAATCAGTTTTTACCTGTTTCGACCCTTATTGTCGGACAAGGGTCGATTTATAAAAGTTTTATATAAATGGTACCAACATTCAAGATAAAATTACAAACATATTTTAATGAAAATGTGATAAACATAAAATATTATAATAAATACATAATAGTTCTTAACAATATATATGAGTGATGTTTTTTGTGATTTTGTTTTTAGTATTTAAAATGATTATGTGGTTAATTCAGTTTAAATTAGTACTCGATCATTAAGTAATTATGACTTTAATATGTAAGTACTTCATTTCAAGATAAGGAAAGGACAAGATAATATTATACCATAGAGAACTTTTTTAGTAAATGAGCCTCTATAAATACCGCTTAATAAATTATAATGGTATTAAAACACGAATCGATATGATGAACATAATAATATTTGTCTATATATAGATAATACTGAAGCTGATTTTATCCATCTATAAATAACAGCATAAAATAATAATAATGATGTCAATAAACTTGTTCCGCCCACATAATTTTGTGAGTAATCACATTATTGATTATCGATGACCATATAAGCAGTCGTTCACTAGTTGAACAAATCGATTAGTGTGATACATTTTTCATTAGTGAAAGTTGTAGAATTTAATTAATTATACGAGTATAAATTCGTTTAAAATCTAAATCTTATATGCAATTTCTTCAATGAAATCAAAGCCAATTGTGAAAATAATCATAAGTGTAAATAATCATAAGTGTAATATCTACAATATTCATTCAATGCCAAAGTTGAGTGCAATAATTGTATTTTAGTACTTTTAAGTTATTGTCTATTATGAATAAAAATAACACTACTGTACGTGAGCAAACCTTTTTGCATATTCTATAATTATATGGTGAGTTATTAACTTTTACCTTTAATAGTACTATATTTTAGTATTCAAACTGAACTTTTGCACATAAAGCAATATTTACATTGTTCTATGTAATCTATAATTTACTTTTAATATAAGTCCAACTAATATCAGTTTGATAAACTATTACATCTAATAATTTTTTATCATAAAAGCATAGCATAGTTTTAATTTATGTATTATTTCACTTACAATTAGAGTAATTTATTATGAATATTGTGCAAGAATTTGTATATGAATTTTATATACGTCTCATGGCTTTTCTAATTTTTATTTTGATCTATTATGAATCTTTGAAATAAAAAACACTTGATTAGGGACTGTTCATGAAGTACCGGTTGACTCATCTCATGTATGATGTGTTTTTAATTCTGAGAATAAAAATCTTATGAATGGCATTCCTTCTAAATCATTATAAGAATAACATAAAACATAATGTGCTTATGAATATTTATTAGTTGTTTTTTTTATTTAATATGCTTTATATATATTTTTTTAATTGTTTAACGAGCAGTATTTAAGAAACACTTTTCTATCATTTCAAACCCGTACCAAATGAAAGGAACAATGAAAACCAATTAATGATTTATAAGGTATTAGATTTTTATATTGTCCAGTTCTTTGTATTTATCTTATAAAATTCTGCTTCATTCCGCTTATTTAGAAATTTGTTGAATAAAACTAATATGTAAATCAAATATTGCCTAATATGTAGGGAAAGTCCCCGAGTGCCGGACACCTAAGGTTATTTATAAATAAACCAAAAACTATTTTACGAAATGTTCATTACATTATGATTTATGTTAGATAACAAAGTTAGAAATCAAACTAAATTAACAAAACCGCAATTTTTGCTAAAATATAATTAATACTATCAATCAAACTTTGGTAACAAAAATATGATTTTAAACAGTGGCACCTAGTACCGGACATTTCAAAATAACCTGCATTGATCACATATGTAGCCATTTCCACACTCTGGAATGTCTGCACATGTGTCTTGGACGAATATTTTTATATATTGCAAAAAAGTCACTATTCATCCACCATTTTGGCTGGGCCACACCGATGCTCTCAGCTGGTGCATTCACCATAAGCTTTTTATTTTTCGACTAGGAAATACGAAAAATGGGGGTATGTAGTAAACGTTAGCACTCATACAGAATAAAATTAAATAATTGGAATAAATTACGTAAATTCTCACAAGAAATATCAATATGTTTATTGTCCGGCACTAAGGGACGACTTAGTGCCCGGTGCTAAGGGACAGACATTTTGGTTCATTTGGTGCCTACTAAAATTGTTTAAAATATCTAATAATATTCCACCATTTTACGGATAACAATCAAGTACTACATTTATTTTTGAATGCCATTAAAATATGAATGCGTAAATACACTAGAATTACTTCTATTGATATTTAGGTGACGCCGTGTTTTTGCGCCTAAAACATCAAAGGTGAGTCTTGGCGCGTGATCCTGCACCTACCCCCGCGCCCCTTTTACTTATATTTTGAAATAAAAAGATTTATACTCGCTTAATTAATACGTGTTAAATAGAGTGTCCGGCTTTAGGTGCCGTCCGGCGTTATGGGACTTTCCCCTACTATTAAATATATCCATATATACAATCATATAATTTGCATCGTTTTAGATATTATGCTGATCTCTAGAACTTTACGATTAAATTTAAAAATGTAAAACTGTTCTTTTGTAAATGTTATTTGCTTTTCAAATATATATTATTAAATGATATATTTTATCATATGAGGCTGATCTATCGATCGGTGGACTCTCTACTCTTAGAAATAAATTTTGGATCACTATTTTTAAGTGCTCGATATTTTGAAATCGAAAGTGTCTTGCAAAATCCCGTATTTTGTAAATTTTTGTATCAAGTAAAGTGTTTTATTATCTTCCCGTAGGGCAAGTTATAGTAATCGCAAAAAAATCGAAAATGAAAATTTTTATATTTCTTTACGTTTCAGAGGTTTCTGAATATTTTGGCATACCTTAGAAAAAATGGATATATGTCTGTATGTGTGTGTGTGCGTGTATGTATGGGTGTGCGGATACAAATTTTCGTCGACGATTTCGGGAACACGGATAAAGCAATTTGAATAATTGAAAAAACATTCGATTTGTATTGATAAGGAGATGTGCTGATTAGTTTTTGGCGAAGGCAGGTTCGAGGATACGGGGCAAAAAGTGCCGAAAACGATAACTCAGTTTTTAAGAGAACGAAGCGTCCGATTTTAATACTTTAAAAAACATTTTACTTGTATTGACAAGATGAAGAATTGAAATTTTTATGAAGGCAGGTCTAGCGGTTTCGGAGATCTAACGAAAACAGTAAAAAAGTTGACCATTTGGCGGTCAAAGATGATCATTAGACATATGCACATCAAATTATCAGATATTTTATAGAGATTTTAACAATAAGTATAAATTTCGATTACATTCCTATGGGTTCCGTACCAATGTTTATCCGTTAGACGGCGACGCGGCGCTTACGCGCTTTATATTTCGTCTCTATGCAGTTAAAGCAGCACAATTGCTTTGAAAAAAGTTCAGAATTTTCAAAATATGCCAAATAAAAAGATTCTCAAAAATCTAATTTGTTCGAAGTAAATTTTTTTCAAAAATGTTAATCTTTTTTAAAAAATAATATTTTTTGGTACGGGAAGTTCCACCAATTTGCCTTAAGGCACGATGCCATGCGCCCCACTAGTTTTACTTTATTATTGTTTGTTAATAATTATTTTTTACCTTTGCAGGCGGCAAATCGCCATGCCTCATCCGGTCAACGCACCCGGCTTACTACCCACCACCAGCTGCATCCACCGCCTGCTGAAATCCCTAGTTCTTTCCGTCCTCTTGTTAACTCCTGCTACGCTATGTTCAGACCTAGGACACGGAAGACATGTGAAACACTCGCACCATCACCGATCCTCGGTCGATGCCATTTATTCCGTTACAAATGACGCTGGACCAGGCGGATGGATCTCAAGAGGACCCCAATCGACGATAGCACCAGCGGGGGATGAGGTCATGTTCGAATGCGAGCTTAGCCTGACGGCGGAAAGACTGACCTGGTTGCACCAGCCTGAAGGAGGTAATCGGTCGGAAAGCGATTACAAGGAGCTTAATGAGCATGCTGATTTTGATAAAGATGGGTGAGTTGGAAAATATAGTTATAAAAACGATTGCTACATTATTATTATTAACTTCCCGAAGGAGAAGTTTATGTTTTCATAAAAAAATCCGATTCGCTAATTTTATGTTTTCTCGACGTTTCAAGCCATTCTGAATCGAATGAGGCCAAATTCTGAATCGATTTTGAAAATTCAAAAACCGTTCGATAGATATTAGTTGGGAATCGTGCTCATTAGTTTTTGGTAAAGATCGGCCGGGCCGTTTTGTTGTAATAAAGTTTAAAAAAAAATCGACGATTTTTATGATTTTTTTTTGACGGTAGATACCATAGTCTTCTAGATCATACTAAATTATTACGACCCTACGACTATTGGTTTAACTTTGAAAATTCGTCAAAGTTTGCAAAAATTAGTATCGTTTTTTTGGCTTTTGTCAAAATTAGACCTTTCATCGACGTTTGCTCAAAAACGATGTATCTCAATGAGCACAATAGTTTGTGAGACGATTTGCCGAACCGTTTCTTTGTAATTTAAAAAAAAAGTGTTAAACTTTTCGTCCACATTTAAGCTCATCCTACCGAACCGATTTTAAAAAATCAAAAATTGTTCGAAAGATATCAGTTGGGAATGATACTGATTAGTTTTAGGTGAAAATCTACCGAGCTGTTTTCTTGTAATTAATTGTTGAAAAAAAATTTAAGCTGATTTTTATGAAACTTTTTTTGGCGATATATATCATGGTCTTATAGAACTTACTGAAATATTACGGCCTTACGACAAGCCGTTTAATTTTAAAAATTCATCAAAGTTTGAGAAAATGAGGAGTTTTTCAAAATTAAAATTAGACGATTTACTTGGTATAACGATAGAGTACTTGGTCTCATTAAAACCATTAAAGTCCTACGGAAACTGGTTCAATTATAAAAATTATTGATTTTTGAAAATTTGCTTTTAGAAAATACTCGAGTTAAGGTGTTTGTTCGGTTTAAATTATGTGTAATAAATTCATTTGGAATACTTTTAATTAATCATAAATTAATTTATATTTTACTCATTAAGTCGATTATTTACACATATCGGGAAGTTCATGTAACTTGCCCCAAGGCAAAATACCAAAACCAACTAGTTATTTTTATTGAAGCTCTGCCTTAAAGATTTCCATGGTGTAGATTTTGTTGATTCGTAATAAATTTCTGCATATATGCAATAATGTGTTATAAAATTATATAAACAATCAATTTGCAATAAAAAGAAATTCTACGCCATTCCTCACTTATTTCATTTCGAAGTAACTGTTCAGTATGCGCAATCGTGGGAACCAAATTTTTATATACTTTTTTAGGAATTTGGTCATTATTACAACTGAATCACGGAATCTAATCTTCTCTATCTTTGGATATATGCATTTAATTTTTGAATATACTTATTCAATTGTTGATTTTGAAAGATATTTTAGATAGATACATAATTAGAAAAAATCAAAAATTATGATCGAAGACGAAATATATTATAGTTCATAATAAATAAAATTAATAGAGTCATATATTATTACTTCATTTGATCGCATAATAAAACACCTCAATTGAGTGGCAGTGATATCGATATCTAATATTCACGAACCACAATCTATTCGCGTTTTTTCGTCGCAACGATAATTATATTTATTTTTAAATCATTCACATGGGAATAATTAAACACATTAAATTATCTGTTCTAGACGACACAGGGTTTCGAATTTAATGAACATTTCTGCATAATTATTATCTTATCTTTAAATATAAATTACATATGTGCTGCCTGCATATTATGCAATAAAATCTATACTCGCTATAATTTGATATCTCCATGAATATTTTATGCCAAGTACCTACTTGATATTTGATATCTAGTTCAAATGTTGTCTTCGATAAAATATTATATTATATTATATTTATAATAATAAATAACATAACTGGTGATTGGTTAAAGAAATTCTTGTTAACACAACTAAATTAAATAAATATACATTTTTTATACTTCTTATTATCTTTCTCTCTATTTTATTCTTCTAATCAAAAAAGAACAAGAATAATCGCGGGTACTTTGCGTTTCTGGATTAAAAAAGTTTGAGAAAATAAATTAAAATATTATTTTTTGTGATATAATATTTGTATTTATTTTGAAATATCTAATCTTTATACTGTGAGGTTGCATATCATATATTATTGACATAAGTTAAGTTTGTTTTAGGTCTATATGGTTTATCAGTGTTATAATAATATTGATATTTGATTCGTATCTATATTTACATATCTCTATAGATTCAATATATTTACTAATATTTCGATTGCTAATTTATAGTTAAAAATGATAATTATTGAATAATGTAAGTCGACCATTAAATAATTATTGTTTAAATTAACTGTAGTCCTTTTACAATGGGTTTTATCTACCTATGAGAATCATTAGCCTCTATTTAGTAACATTATAAAAAATATTGTTTAATTATCAAGCCTAAAATAGTACGTGTAATAGTTATTATCATGTAATAAAAATTATTAATTAACCTACCTAAATTTAAAATTATATTATTGACTGCAAATTTTGTTTTGTTTCTGTAACTTAATCATAACTCTAATTTAGTAATTTTTTTAATTTAGATTTTTCTTGTAACTTTTAGTAGGGTATTTTCTTGTAATAATAATTCTTTTGCTATGATTCTTTTATTCCGCATCCCATTTATATTATTCTGCTTACTAAATTAGTCATACTTTTATCCGATAAATTATATCTCGATAAAGAAATAGGATTTTACAAAAATATTATCCGTTGTTTTAACTTAACAAAATTCATTGTTAGTTTTGAACATGTTTGAGCAAATATTCCGTAAAAAAATATAATCGCAATATTTGAACAAAAATATTTCGAACAAAGACGTCGTTGTGTGAATAACCAAGAGGAAGAGCAGAACTGATAATGCTAATAAAATGTAAATAAATATCAAGGATATATAAAGATTTCATTAAAGTTATATTGTGGGCGAGCTTTTGTTTAAATTTAACTAGAATAGTATGTAAGAAATAAAGAAAATACTAAAAGGAACTAATTTAACTTTAAGAAGATTTATTTATTTTATTTTATATTCATTAAAAATTTATTAATTATTCATTCATTAATTAATTTATTATTAAGTGCATTATGATATTAGCAGTCGATTATCAAACATTTTCGACGTTTGTATTTTGAAAAAAAAATTCTTTAACTTTGAAACTGCATAGTTATGCTATATTTTGAAAAAAACATCTTATAATTCATTCATCTTATAAACAAATTCATAGAGTTTGTTTAACTCTAACTGACTCTCCCGTGTTTATGAAAGCTTATAATTTATACGTTTAAATATTTCAATAATGAAATACAATGGCGTATTAGTTACTATTTAAATCGCTGAACATACACACATGCTAATATTTCTAAATAACACTAATGTCGTGATAAGTCATATAATCAATCAGCAACTACAATGACTCTAGCAAATTGAATAATCCTTAATAATAAATTTGAACTTTAAGAACCAGTAAATAATTCATGTTGTTTTACCATCCATTACAACATTTACTAGCGATTTATATTTACAGCCATTAAACGTCGTACTGGTATTTATCTTCGTTATTATGTAATATTATTTACATTAGAATTATGAGATAAGTGTTTATCATCTTGAGAAGGTTTATCTAGAGATAGGCTTATATGATGCATTCAGGTGCAATCAGGTATTAAATTACGTATTAAAAATTGGTGTAAAATTTTATATTATATTATATACAATTAATTAATATTCTCTAATTGTTATTCACATTGAGTAATCTAGAAGATAAGAATGCATCTCTGTGCATATAATCGACTCATGGGTTTTGTGAACTGATTTGTTTCCCAAGACCCCAAATTAATTAGTAATTAATTTAGTTTACCAAAATAGATTACACATAAGATCATATCATTTATATATTATATCATATATAATATATTTCATATATTTTTTATTTATTTAGATACCAAATGTCATTCCATGGAATGGTCGGCTCTCTACGAGTTCTTGCAGACCCTCATCTTCCAACCGGTTCTGGAAAATTTCGTTGTTCGGTGCGATTTGGACCTCTGTCACTGGTTTCAACACCAGCCCGGTTAGAACTGGCTGCCCTGGATGACTTTCGACTGGACGCGGAATGGATCGCTTCTCAAAGAGATAGTGATGGTCTTAGGTTAAGGGCTCCAGTAGGCAGCAGAGTTATGATGAGATGTCCAGAGGTTAAGTCAAGTCCTCAGGCTGTTATACAATTTTATAAGTGAGTTTAATGAAAATTATTAGAATAAGTCAATTGAAATATTTGTAATATTTGTTTGAAGATAGTTGAGAATAAATTCGTAATTACAGTTTTTGCTAAAAAACCTGCACAAAGAGATTTTGAAGTATGGGTTTAGAGACATATTTTAAAATTAATCGAATATTAAATTCCGTTTAATCAATGTCTCCGTTAGTTTTAAAATAAAATGAAGTATTTATATAAATGCGTTAACGTATTCTGGCAATAAATTTTGTTGGCTAAGAATTATTATATTGCCAAAACAATTCTATTAAAATGTTGTGACCATTCATCTCTTTCGCGCGTTCCTGAAGTCCAATTCGAGCTCAGGCGGTTATGAATGGTTTGGCAAATCGCCCATCTTACTATTGAATAGTAAATAACAGTTGAGTTGCACCATATATAATTATTTGTAAATGTATTTATGTATGAATAATCATGTATAAAAATACATATGTTTTGACTTAAATCATATGCGCTGGTAACGTAAACTATTCTTGTTTCGCGTCAGTTTATCATTACCTAATGTTTTGACATCCGAAAATATGCTATTTTTTTTTAACTCTGTTTTATTCAGCAATCAGAAATACATAAGAATTCCTATAAGCTAAATTGACAATAATTGAGAGCGTCTAAGAAGAACTCCAGTGAGATCTTTTTAGTTTAACAATTTAAAAGATAATGATATATTGAAGCTAATCTAAGACTAAATCTAAAGGCCATTGACGTTTTAATCTTCTTACGCCAAATGATTGGGTGAATGTGATTCCAATTTACGTTTGTATTTTTCCTTAAATTCTTTGAACGTTAATTGCACCGTTTTCATGTTGAGATCGTTGTGAATGGTTTCATTTGTAATGAACCACGAAGAATTAAGTATTGTACGCAAAATTTTTGAGTGAGTTCTCTGCATTATAGCTATATTTGATTTGTAAGCACATCCCCAGAGCTCAATTCCGTAGGTCCAGATGCTAACAACAAGTAAAATTTCAATAATTTCAATTCCTTTTTTTATTTATAAAATTGTTATTTAAATGTTAATTGTTAGTTTAAACTTTTATCAAAGGTTGTATTTTACAGGTTCAATAGACCACTTGCTCCAAATGTGCCGCAATTACCATCTGGTGCAGTTGTTTTGGAGTCTGTAGCAATATCAGACTCGGGTCGGTACACCTGTTCGGCCCTTAATGAAATAAATGATGAAGTCGCAGCGACAACTCTTGCATTTAGTCTTCAGGTATACAGGCCCGAGCAAAGAGAACCGCCAAGGTAAATTGTTTGTAAATTAATATAAAATTATACGTTATACGGGGAGAAACTGACTAAACTTTGGACATTGCAAAATTATATTATAACATTTACCTTTATATATTTTATATATACACTGGCCTAAATATTTATGATATGATATACTTTAATAAATAAACTTAGTAATGTTGCTGGCGATTGAAACAAAAGAGAAAGAATATGATTTGATTTAAGGAAGAATATCTTATCATCATATCTCATCTCATCAAAATATCACTTTTTTCAATTAATTTATAGATTTCTGCAACCTCTGCGGTCCTTATACACTGTCGCAGCAGGAACTCGAGTTCTTCTGGAATGTGTCGGTGTCGGTGAACCTCAACCAAGTGTTCAATGGTCTAAGCAGGGTGCAATTATTGGACAAGCTGATAACAGTAAAGGTAGATATAAGCCAGAAATAATGATAAGTTAGTAGCAAAAAGTTTTATTGCACTGATATTTATCCTATATGAAGTTTCAATTAATTTATACATGAAATTGTCCTACTTCATTTATAATTTTTAGCAGTTCAATTAAATTGAATAAAGTATCTTAAAAGCTTTTTTAAGTTTTTATGACTTATTTATTTGCAGTTTATTTTTATGGATTATTTTGTATTACAGATGGTACTCATCACCAAAGAAATGATAACAAATATACTGGATTAGATCCCATTCAAATTGGAAATGGAAAATATAGATCATCTTCGGATCTTTATGAGACTTCCGATCAAATGATGGGTAATGGCGCGGACGGAAGGACTTTCAACATGCCGCGAATTCTAATTACTGAATATGGATTATTAATTGAAAATGCTACACTTCAAGATACTGGGTTATATGAATGCGCTTTGATAGATCCATCAAGAAGGTTAATTGCTTATTTATACTTACTTACTTAATTCTAAAAGTCGGCTGTTGGATTAATTCGCTCATCCGTTCATATTTTAAAAATAATGATTAAAAATTTCTTTCATAAATATGATAAAATATTTTTTCAGTATTTTTTTCATATCATGCATAGCGTAATTATTATATTTTAAATCAAAACATTTAAATACAACTGTTTTTAATTTTTAGATACCCGCCTGTCAAACAACAGATTCGACTAGACGTTGAATCGGCACCGGAGTTTCCTGAGAGCTCATTAATCCCAAACTCTCAACCACAATTTAATTTATCTCTTTTTGCCGAGGAAGGATCTCGCATTGATTTACATTGTTCAGCTTTTGGCGTACCGCCTCCGAAGATCTATTGGATGCTAAATGCTAGACCAGCTGAAACCGAACCAGGGGTCACTGTGGAAAAGGTAGTTATTTTCATTTTTTAAATCTCAAGGATTAAGATACAAATTTGTTAAATAGGTTTCCTTTTGTTATTGAAGATATTTTTTTAAATAATATTTTCTGACAGAATTTCTATTAAAAATCTTTATATCTTTATATTTTTCAGGGTTGGATGATTATAGACCCTGTATCCAGAGCACATGCTGGTGCTGTGCAATGCTTCGCATCGAACAAAGTTGGTGAGCGTTATCGCGCTGGTGTGTTAAGAGTTTCTGTTGCTGAAGTCACTGGTGAAGCGGAAACTGATAATAAGAACGCAGAAGGAATAAATGGAACTATAGGGAAGATGGGTCATAGACAATATGCAGAACCATCTGATGGAAAAAGTCTTCCACATCATAGGATGGCGGATGATAGACATCAGGTAAGGAAAATTAGAACATAAATCATTCGAATCTGCCTATTCTAAAAGTTGTATGCATTTTACTTATTTAAATTTACAGGGTGGCAATCGATCAAGTGGTACCCCAAAGAAAGGACATCGCGGCAAAGAAGGCCGTGGAAGAGGCAGGGGTCGTGATAAGAAACGAAACAAGAATGGTATGAATGAAAAAAAATACATTATTACATAATCAAGATTATTACAGACTCAAAAATTATAAATAAAAACAAATATCATTAAGTCTAATTTATTTCAACAGTTATGATTCCTCCATCAAGACCAAATGTTACCCGACTTACAGATGAATCTGTAATGGTTCGGTGGTCAGTGCCAGACAACGATGGACTTGAAATTTATTTTTTCAAGGTAAATAAACAAAATACTGATTTTCTAAATGAATATTACATTATTTAAATGTTATTAGGTGCAATATAGGGATTTAACAGCATCTTCGCAAACCCATCAACGAACCCATCCGCGCAAAGGATGGATAACAACTAATGACGAAATACCACCGCACATAAGAAGCTATGAAGTTAATAACCTTGAACCTGATCATGTTTATAGGTAAACGAAGATTTTATAAGAATTTAAAGTGCAATAAAAATTTGTATGTTTAATTATAGTAATTAATATATAATTTTATGTCTAATATTTCTGAAAGTTTAAATTAATTTATTATCATTGTTATAAAAGGTTTCACATAGCAGCTGTATATTCAAATAATGATAATATGCAAGGACCAAATTCAGAAAAATTCCATTGCAACGTGGTGAATTTCTTGGTAAGAGATTGCTACCTGCCCCGATACTAATACGAACTGAAACTTTGGGACCCACCGTCATACAAATTCATTGGCAGGTAATTATTGACCTACAACCTAATCACTCTTAAAAGATGATAGCATTTGTAATTTATTAAAGAATAAATAATATTGTTAATGTTGTTGTTTTAAATTAAAGAAAATATAATCTGCATTTTATATATGTGTTTTACATAAATAATTTTGTAATTTCAGTATATTCCAGACCCAACACGACCAGCTGATGGATTTTACTTATACTTCCGTCCAGCTTCAACAGCTGGAGAATATGTCAAAGAAACTGTAGACGGCGAGAGGTCTCGGGTTCATCGCATCGAACATTTAACTCCTGATACTACATATGAGGTCAAAGTGCAGAGTTTTACGGCTGATGGAGCATCAGATTTTTCAGCGATTTTAACTCAAAGGACCATGAGTAAGTTTTATACAAATAAGTCTTAGGCTATAGATTTACAGAATCAAAACTATTTTTTCATTATTCAAAACTATCTTAAATCCATCCCAGTTTCAAGATGTTCATCATTAACAATGTTAATACTTGATCATTTTCAGAACAACCAACGGAGCCCCCCACGCCTATGGTAATACTTGATCACAGACCGTCATCTGCAGCATCAGCGTCTGCTTCTTCCGGGTCATCTGTGGTTAACATGAACGAGACCATGGACAAAGATAAAAACCGCCAAGGTGATTCATCATCTGGAGCATTGGCCGTAGGCGGAGGAACTGCTGGCGGTTTAGCTGCTGTTCTGGTTCTAGGTGCTGCTGCAATTTATGCCTTGCGAAAGAAAAAGAGAGAGAAGAATGAGAGAGATCACAGTGAGCGAGATGAGGGAGATGAAGATGGCAGGATATCGAGTGATAATAAAGATGGTGGTAAGATTTGTTATTAGAAATATATATTAATTTCTGTCGGATATTAGAGAACAAAATTCATATTTTTTTGTGTATTTATAATACTGTATAAAAAAACAATTTTTGCAGATTTTGCCAACATACAAGATAAACAAGAGGGTCATATTTCAGAATCTAATGGTTATATAACAGCAAGCGCTATTAATCCACATAATAGTTACCAGGTAAATTGATTATACATATATGTAGAATAATTATGTATTAAAATAAATAATTATTCCATTGTCTTAATGAATAACAATTATTTTGCAGTTGAAAACTGTTCAAATCACCGCCAATGGATGTGCAAGAGTTAATATTACATCTAATCCCCTGGCTGAAGAACAATCTGATAAAGTGAGTAGCATTCATGCTATTTTTTATTTTATTTATTTTTTAAGACATTGTTACTTTTATAAAATGGCATTATGAAATGTAATATAAAATTTACAAAATGGGTTTGGAATATCATGCTAAAATCTAACAAATTTTTAAACTATCATGTAGTTAATTCATAAATTTAAAATATTTTAAATTTCCGTGATGGTGGCTTGTTTTTCAAATTATGGTGTGAAATTGCTTGATGCCATTATTTTGTAAAATCATTTGAGCTTATTCTGGTATACTTTATATACTATTTTATATAATCATTTAAATTTTGGGAATGCAACCAATTTGCAATAGCGAGAATAATTATTAATATAATATATTTTTTGCATTCATTTAACTCAATCGGAGTACACTATATTTATTAATGATATTGATTCAAATATGTAATTGCGAAAATGATTTGAATATTGCATAAACAATCTTACTTTTTTATTAATTAATTTTTAGAAAAAAAGAAAAATGCCAACATTTTTCAATTTTATATTGATTATCCCAGAATAGGCTTTTTGGCTTTACAAATTGAATTTTGTACATAAGACCCATGTTTGAGGTCAACAATCCTGTTAGGACCATAGTTATTCTTGTATCAGGGTCGCCCTTTCAGAATGCAAGCGTGACACTGACCGAGCTCGAGATGGAAATGTCCTTGCTCTCCCAGAACAACAACATGTCTGGTAGTTCTTCCGGAAGCGCTGCCAACAATAGTGATTCGATGGATAAACGACAATATAGCGGTGCAGCATGTCCAGGCCATGGCCAACCACCTCTTCACAAGAAAATGATGAGAAATGGCGGACTTCAGGTATCAAGGAGAAACGAAGTGAATATGAATAGCAACAGCAGTATCGAAAACTATGTGTGAATATGGTTGATTTCATGTCAAAGACATCATGTAGATTATTTTAAAAAAGGTTGATGTAAAGACATAGAGTAATATATTACGACTGAATAATTTTAACTATACTTTTGAAAACTGAGCTGTTTGTAGAAAAACATGAGAACGTGAATGCCTAAAAGTGATCTTGATACTGATCAAACCGTGCATTTAAAGCATAGTAGATAAATCAATTGAGCATTGAATCATTTTGTGTATATCTGGAAGTTGTATAAATAGTGAAACAGTATAAACTTTTGAACAAAGTTGTTTATTCTCGTACTTTACTCTTTATTTATGAGTATTTACTTAAAACGATATCAGATGCGGTTACATAAATAAATTATCTCATCGTCAGTTTAATAAATAAAATTGTTTATATTTGAACAGCACCAATTGATGTCGATTAGTTATTAAGTGAAAAATTGTTTGTACATATTTGTATATTAATTGAAAGAGACAAAATTATTGTGTGTACTACATATAAATTATTATATATATATTATTTTAGTAATAGAATCGGTTTAATAATATTATTGAAAGTCTGATATTAGGATAAAATTGCATGGATACCGTTTGCGAGATATTTTGATAAAACAGATATATGTTTTTATCTGTTTTAGTTTTTAATATTTAGTCTTGCATCAACGTATTTGAAATAGATTTTCAAATAATATATTTTTGTTACATATATTTTTCAGGTTGACATACATAATGTTTCAGTAAAGTACAAAAACTTTCGCAATGAAACTTTTTGTGAAAATATTTTTACAATTTTTTTTAAATGATGGATGAATGGTTAATGAATGTTAGCATATAAGTATAGAGTAATAAATAGGTTGCCTTAAAGACAAACACGAATTAGAAAAGCTTTAAAAGCTTGTGCCTTCTGTATTTTTGTGATATTTATTAAGATTACATAAGCCATAGATATAATATAATTTTAATTAGTTGACTTATTCGGAGGATATGTTATATAATAAAAATATTGATGAAAAAAGCAAGGCATTTTATTTTTTTTGCCTACATATAAAATATAGCTCGATTATAACTTGTTGCACCTAATTCGTGTTACGAGTTATTGAAAGGGAGTTTTTAAATAATAATATTTATTTACACGTCTCAAAATAATTTATTATTGATTTAATATATATAAACAATAATTCGTAATGTTAATATTAATTCGGATAACATGTATTTTGCAATGAATATACTGCGAGATAACACGTCGCATTCAAGGTCCCATGGTGTAATGGTTAGCACTCAGGACTCTGAATCCTGCGATCCGAGTTCAAGTCTCGGTGGGACCTGAAATATTTTTATGTAGTAAAATTAATTTATTTGTCCATTATAGGGTTTTAGTTTCATTATTATTTAACAAACTGCCTATTTATTTCTCAACTTTTCGCTATTAAACAAATAACTCAGTTTTATTACCAATTTATTATATTTAGGTAGTTTTGAAAAGAATTTTAGATACTTGAATATTTATGTTTTATGAAACATAATAATTCTATTTGTATAAAAATGTTATTCACAATGAAAAACATTTAAAAATGCCATTCAATATACTTTTTTTTTAAATTTAAACATTTCAACAGTTATGTGTAAGAGAGACTTAATGTGCACGTTTAATAGTAATTTTACTTGGCAATCGATATGATACTTAAAAGAATTTTATAATCAGTGGTATAATGCACAATTTAATATTTAATTTTCAAACATACCAGACAATAAAAAGAATAAATTCTGTTTTTTATTGATAAAATATATTTAGGCATTTACAAAAACAAACTGTATAAACATGATAAGAAAAATCCAGATAAGTATGATCAAAAGATAACTAGATTCCAAATCAAACTTCAGCTAAATCCCACTTCTAATAAAGTTTATGGATAAAGCGTCATATGATGGATAAAATCCATAAGATTTGTTTATCTAGTTTCCGAAACTGCTGCTGTGCATATCTTGTAAAATTAAAGGATTAGATAAGAACAAAATTCAATAATTATTTGTACAAATTGATTGATAACTTATAGTTTTCGAAAATTCTAAACTGAAAAAATGCAGCAGTTTCAATTGGCTCTTCAAGACTAATTACATCCTGAAGAGCCTTAACGAGCTCATCCTTCCTATGCACCTTGCGTGCACCAGGACCATCTGCAGGTCTGTAAATAAAAAATTATTTAGTAAAAAGATTTGAATAGTCTAGAAATAAATATTTTACACATAGTGCACAAATACATAAAACTATTTTATAACTCAAATCCACTGTCCAACAATTTAAAAAAAAATCACAATAGAGATGAAAAATTAATCAAAATTCATTTTCCTTGACAAGGTGAATGAAAACGTGATTATAAATAATGGTATATTTTACTATACTAACCCGGACCCCTTAGATCCATTGTTTCCTGATCGTGGCTCAGTTTTAGTATCAAAATTAAACAAGGTTTTGAAACTGAAACCAAATTGTGGGTGGTTATTTAACTAACATAAAACAATGCAATAATTATTGCGTTACTCACAATTTGACAAAAAAGTCTATGAAGGCCCAAAAAAGGCCTATAATTTTCCTCAATCCCCAAGGCTGACCACCTTGATGGATTGTTCCATCTAAAATTACATCAATAAATCGAATTAAACGTAATTCTTAATTTAATATTACCAATTTAGATACTGCAAACATACCTGCTCCTACATACATTATTTATGTATGTACGTATCTACTCTATTCATGAGTTTTATTTACTGATTGACCTAAATTTCAATATTTTTTTTTTAATTTTGAACAATTTCTTATCGTCACGTCATCCTAAATTTTGATATGTCATTTTCAAGAACTTGCTCATAGTACGAGAGGCAACGTCAAAATTTTAATGGTTTAGGTTTAGAAGATTGAGAATATATATTAAAAATGTAAAATTACGTGTTGAAAAAAAAATTAAAATGTCACATCTCATTATAGTTTATGAAACAAAATTTATCATACGATAAATATATTAAAGTAATACATTAAACTCACTGATGCGATATGAAATTGATATATGTCAAAATGTAGACTAATTGTAATAATAATAATTGTATAATCAGTACAGAAATCTTACACAAAGTATTACATTTTGAATAAAAATTGTGTATTTATTCCTTAGAGCTAATTGAGTCTTTATTTATATTAATATTATATCTTTATAATTATAATTATGTAATTATAAAAATAATTAATAATCCTCATTTACATTTTATTTTGTAAATAATGAGGACTGTAAATGAAAAGGCGGAGTTAATGATGTTATAAATTGCGTTCACTATTTTTTTTTAAATAAATATTTGCATATTTTTGGAATTCAGAAGTCGCGTCTATCGGACTATTAGTATTGCCATACATGATCGAATTGAAAATAGAGACCAATAATTACTACGGGTAACACTCTTTTTTAAACAAGTATTATTAACCTAACTTACATCAAAAACTTCAACAACGTGTTTTCGGCTTATATGTAATTATATTTGTTGACGTTATATTGTGGAGATAGAATAATTTAACTTTTAATCTGGAATCATGAAAATAAACGCTAAGAAACCAGTTCCTTCAATGGAAAAGAAACAATCATCTTCCAAACCTAGATTATCAAAGGCTATGAGAAAAAAGAGCAAAGTCTTGACGGTAAAAGATACTTACTTCATAAATTATTTTCTTTCTGTTACTTTACTATTTCTTGTTTTTAGCCAAAGAATCAAAAAAACACAGATGACAATGGCAAAAACTTTATTCCCATACACAAAAAGAGCGGTGTCGTTTACTTCGGGAGAATTCCTCATGGATTTTACGAGCAAGAGATGCTTAAATATTTTTCACAATTTGGAAAAGTTAAAAAGACTCGAGTATCACGTTCCAAGAAGACTGGACGCAGCAAAGGATATGGATATGTTGAATTTGCAGATTTTGATGTGGCAAAGATTGTTGCTGCGACTATGAATAATTATCTTATGGGAAATCGACTTATTAAAGGTAGCATACTTTGAAACAATTCTTCAATAATACTCACAATTAGCTTTTTGAATTTTGTATAAATTGCAAATTACAAATATATTATCATACAATACTAATGTCAAGTATCAACAGAACATTACAAAGTGTTTCTTAAATGTTATATAATCAGTCTTAGTTGAAGTTTTATTTGATTATAGCAACTTTGGTTCCTTCTGACAAAAATTACTTTGCTGGACGCAATTGGACACAAAAGAAGTATCCAGGTGTAATTTCTCGAAAAGATGAAGTAAAGAATAAGAATCGTAGACTTAAGGGAGATAAAGACGATACAAGACGACAGAAAAAAATTGAAAAGTATTTTTATATAAATTTAAGACACTTTTAATAATTTACCTATTAATATAAAGAATTAATGCATTACTGCATGCATGAATGTTATGAATCTAAATTATTTATATCTGTTCTTAAAGATAATATTGAAGTATTACAATATTATATCATGTTTCGTTTATTACAGGTCAAAGTTGCCATGCTAATTTATTATTTGACATTTCAGATTAAATAAAATAAAAGAGCGCTTGCTAGAACAAGGCATTGATTTTGAATTACCTTCTGCAAATAACTCTCCTAGTAAAGTAGTTGAAGTAGTATCTGAAAATTCATCAAATAGTGAAGGTCTGAAAACGGAAAGCAGTAACGAAGAAATGTCTGACGAAAATAGCTCCAATGATGAATGTGATGAATCTGATTTGGAAAGTTATGCAAGGTATTTATTCTCATTGAACCTTGTTGTTGTTATTGTATCTGTAATATGTAAATCTATTGCAAATTTGCAATCAAACAATATATTAACTTTTCATAATAAACCACTTTATTCAATCAATCAAAATAAATTCACTTTAAGATGTTATGGTCTAGTTGAAAGATGCATTTAGAAAATTAGTACCTCTACATCTTAACTAAAATATGATCAATACAATCATCACATTCAAATCAATTTAAAATTTTTACTTTTTAAGTTGTGACACATTTCAAAGGGAATCAATGATAATGAGATTCAAAAGACAAATTTTAAAGCTGATATCATGTAAGGTTATTTTATCTCTCAACTTGTATTATATGTTTTTAAAATTTTAGTTCAGATGAAGAGTTGGTAGATGATGAAGACGATGACGATGATGATGATATGAGTTCTGAGGAGGAATCAGATGCCACAGATGAAGATGATGATGAAGGGGAAAGTGATCAGGAAAATGCACATAATTTCGTAGCAATAAAAAATAAAAAGAATCAAATGAATAAATTGCCAAGGCAAGATATGAATAAACTTTTGAAGCGAAGAGAAACGGGTGGAATTACTAAGAAAAGGGTTAACAATAAACAAAAATTGATACCTAACACTGCATTTACAAAAGCTGCTAAAGATATGGTCAAAGCAAAAGGTGCAGTTCTCAAAAATAAAGCCCAACTGACAAAGAAACACAAGTGAATTTCTAATTGATTCTTTAATATAAAAATTGAAGAATAAAATATTTTATATGAAAAACATTACATTTCAAGTGATTATGAAATATGTTACAGTTAAATTCGAAGTTAGTAATGTTACGTAATGTCTAAATTGGTTTGTTTTTATAAAACAGTATATGTAGACCTCACAAATCTCCATTGTCGCTGCAATTTGTTTTTGTTCTTTTCCACTTCATTCTTCTGTTTTGGAACCAAACCTTTACCTGAAATATATTATACAGATATTTTAATTACTTTTTTATTAATAATAACATAATAAACATCTCATTTCATAATTTTGAAAATAAAATAAATTTGTTTGTTCACATGAGTAAAATTTGTAGAATGATCATTTCACCTGCAATTCATAATTCTAGTATATTTTCTACATTTACAATCATTTTGGTACTTAAATGTAACATGCAATTGTGAAAACAAAATTTAATTCTGCTATTTTAAGTTTTTTTTTTTATTTTTTCAATGTAAACATGATTTTTTTTATTTTCCTAATTTTAAGTTTTGTATTATAAATAAACAATTTATATAATATACAATTGTATGACAATGATACAATAATTGTTATATTTATATAAATATTTAACACGATTTAGAAAAAAACAATTTTCTATAAGAGTGTGATTTGCAGAATAACAAGATATGAGCCTATATCTTTTACATAACAAAAGATATAATATGATTGTAAATTGCTGTAATGCCTCAACTATTTCATAATTTAAGAAAAATGTGAGCTTTTCATCTTGAGCACAGAATAGGCAAAACAAATTGCATATTATAACTATATTACCATAGTGCATATCCTCATATCATGGTATCAGTGATTTTTTTAATGTAAAAGGATATTAAACAAGTATTTTATTGTACTAGTTTATTATTATTATTAGTTTTTACGTATATATTTACATAAATGTCCATATTAAATTTAATATTTTAATATGGCAGGTTAATATTTTAACATTCCGATGTTGGCAGTTTTGTAAAACCTGAACTTACGTCACAAAGGATATGAGGATAATTCAGTTTATGCAAGTTCACTGACAGCATTGACATTAATAATAATGTCATTGTTGTTATTGGTTTGGTCATTGACAACAATGACGAAGAATTGCAAAATAAACAGTTTTTTTTTATAAATAAACAAATTATTATACGAAAGTAATTCATAAATTCAAATAGTGATATGAAATTAGAAGTGGAAGTGATATTATAACTCTTAACGAACGAATGCCGCCATGGACGCCGCATGTCGTAACAAAAATTTTGGCTTTTTTTATATAATTCTCAATAAGGGCACAATGCCGTTTCAAAATAAATTTGAATATTGATCAAAAAACAATATTAGCAATGGAGTAAATCATTTTTTAAAAATCCGTCGACCTGTCATAGTTTTAGAAAATGCGCTCGTTCGTTAAAGGTAAAAAACGGGTGATAAGTGTAATCAAGTGTCAAAGTTTGACTCTTTTATAACTTTTTTTGAAGTCAAGGTTTTTAATTCTGATGCAGCCGAAAAGGACATTGTAAGGAAGTTACGACAATGTCAATATGTAAGTCTTACAAAATTATTATAAAATTTTAATATAATTTATAAAAAATATATGTGATTCCGGCCGGGATCGAACCGGCGGCCTTCTGCGTGTAAAGCAGATGTGATAACCGCTACACCACGGAACCCACGCATGGTTCTCAAAATATTATCGTAGAGATACTGTAGACAAAAATAGTATAAGTATAGTACTATAAAAAAGTATAGTATAGTATAAGTACAGTACTATAAAAAAGTATAGTATAGTATAAGTATAGTACCATATAAAAGCTCATATTGTACGTGTAGTAATTTGACTGGTAACGCCTCGCACCTGCATATAACACAGCGGTTTCCAACCTTTTTTGCATCGCGCCCCCCTGCAAATATAAAAAAAATTGCTGCGCCCCCCTTTATTTTTTTTAACCGTTTAATTTTATAAATACTCAACTGATCTTATCAGACTACAAATTAATATGCAATATTATGTAAAAATATTCATAAAAACTAAATATTTTTGGTTTATTTTTTAATAACGTTCCAAAAATGTTGGGTTATTTTCGATAATAGTATTCTGGAAACAGTTGTACGCGCCCCCCTTAGGACAGCCTGGCGCCCCACTGAGGGGGCGCGCCCCACAGGTTGGAAACCGCTGATATAACACCTTTTGATTTTTTTTACTTTTTAAATTCTCAAAGAAGTTTGTTTTCGCAAAAAATCGATTTGCTAATTTTCTGTTTTCTCGACGTTTCAGGTCATTCTGAATTGGATGAGAGCAGATTTCAATAAAGTATATGTGCCTATGTGTATTTGAGCCGATTTTTGACCTTCGGTCGACGTTGTTTCAAAATCGGTTGAGCCGATTTCAAAAATTTAAGCCATTTGATGTATCAGGACTTTGTAATTAGCCGAAAAGTGTGAGATTTTTTGTCCACAATTTTGCACAGATATAAAAATTCAAAAACTATTTGAAAGACATTGGTAGGTAATCTTGTTGACTAGATTCTGGTAACGCTCGGCCGGGCCGTTTCTTCGTAATTAAACGTTGAAAAAAATTTTTTTTGACGGTTTTGATCAATCTTTATATGAAAATAGATATCGTAGTCTGAAATAACATTATGAAATATTATAAGCCTACGATACGCGGTTGAATTATAAAAGATTAGAATTTCGCCCCGTGTTGAAAGGATTCTAATCAGAATCTTTGCCGAAGCATTTATACAGTTTTACATTCACTTAATGTTGAGAAATGAGTTATTCCATTTCAAATCTTTTAATATCAAAAACACCACAAGTAGGGGCAACAAATTGAAAATTCTCTTCCTTGCTCGTTATACGAATAAGTATTAATGAACACCTGAACGAAAGTAATATACTCTTCTTTTATCTATGGTAATAACTTACCTGTCTTTCGGTTAAACGCAAAGCTACTGAAATTTCGTATCTTCTAAGACGTGTGAGATAATTGCAAAATTTGAATTCGTCTTCCAATTGTTTGATTTGGTCTTTTGTAAAAGCAGTTCGTTCTTTACGCGGTGCTACTTGCGCCCTGGTCTTCGCCTTTGTCGTGTCCATACATTCATTTAGTTCTGAAATTGTAATGAATCAATTATTGTCCAATACATAAATGTTAGGCCAAAATTTATTCAAAAAAATGCAATACGAGAATATTTTTTCTAACTAACATTTAACTTTATATTGTTCATTACTAGTTTAATTTATAGTAATTTTGGTCATATTAACTTATTTATAGTGTTTTAACGCATGTTCAATCTCTCAACCTTAGCCAGGAGGAAGTGGCTATTTGTCTTGAAGAAAGTGGTTAAAACTTCCCGACATATGCAAATAATCGACTTATTCAATAAAAATTGAGATTTAGCCATTTTTAAAATAGACATAATAAAATTTAGAGATTTTGACATGGTCTGTTATTCCCAACTGTAATTAATTTTTATAATTTTTTGTAAATCTATAATATTTTAGAATGTTGGAAGACCATGACTTTTAGCATCATACAAAGCTTCGTCAGATTGGTCCAAAAAATTTCAACAATTATTTTCGAACAAATGACCCGACTGATCTTTAGTAAACTCTAATCAACTTGATACCTGATACCTAACGTAGACGAATAATTTTGCACTTGTTTGCTAATTTTAAAGATCAGCCTATAGCCTCGCAATTATTCAATATGTTTCAATTTTGATGTCAAATGAATCAGAATTACTTGAAGCGCCGAGAAGACATAAATTTAGCAAATTGGACTTTCTGAAACAAACATATAAACACAAGAAAAAAATAAGAAAATGAAAAGCATTCTCAAAGAATTTGATCGAATAATGGAGTTTAATGTTATATAATAATCTTTGTAACTCAATTTTTTTTTTTTTTAATTTTATTTTCAATAGCAATCAGAATACATGGCAATTCTATGAGCTATTTGGCTTATGTCATTCACTCGCACACATACACACACACTTTCAAACACACATATAAGTTTATCTGATAAATATTATTTTCATATTTAGAGAATCACTTCAATAAGTGATTCTACTATTCTGCTTACATAAAGTTTGAATATTTCTAAGGGTCCTCCATATTATCTTTGGGCAGCTTAACTCAAAATCAAAATCAATTGCAATCAATTTTTGCAATAATTTATGAAGTATTACATTTTTGGATCTCGTTGGTGAGCGAAGGGTTAAACAATTCCTGATGCACATAAATTTTTATTCTCCTATATATTCCTTATACGATTTATGTTTATTTTATTTATCGTTATTCGATATATTTTAATTTTTACGTATTTGTCTATAAGCAATAAATTAATGATTCCGATTAATTTGCAACGAAAAATATGATTCCGGCCGGGATCGAACCGGCGGCCTTCTGCGTGTAAAGCAGATGTGATAACCGCTACACCACGGAACCGATGGGGTTACAATTCGATGCAATTTTTGTGAATTCGCGCATGTACTTAAATTCACTAGTGCAGTTGATCAACTTGCACTAGATGCATGTAAAATAACATATAACATTTTATATTTCGATTGTTTAATGTTTAATAATACAAAAAAAACCTACTCTCCATTTTACTAACCAAATGAAAAACGCACAATAGTTAAATGTTGCTTTACATAGAAAAGACAAAAAATCTTCCACATAACTAACTCAACGCAAATCTAGATGGTTTTGAAACAGAGCTTTGTTCGAAAATTGGAAATGTATTTATTTATTTAATGTGGAAGATTTACTTTTACTTTGAACAAGTTCATGTTTTATAGCATTTATATCTGCCAATTGCTTCAATACACAAGCGTTATAAGAAATAAATGCATTTTTAGCGCACTCTCATTGTCTCATTAATTAATTTTTGGGTTAATTTATTATTTCCAATAGTAATTGGAAAATAGATAGTGCAGGCTGCGGTCTTCTGTAATGCTAGCAAATCTTATGAATTTGTGCAAGTTTTTCTAGTACTTCACAATCGAGTTATAGGTTAATGACTACTATAAATTCAAAGAGACAAAATTCAAGAAATACACTTCCAAAGCTAATGTATTTAGTTCGAAATAAAGAAGTAGATCCAGTTAGTATATTAAAAATCTTCACATTTTGGTACAAATCTCATAATATCATTTGTAAAAATCTCTGTACATAATAATAATTTGTCTGTACATTTTTAACTGTAATTGATTTGCTTGAATCAGATACTGTATGCATTACCAAACTCACATCCACTTTTTCTAGGGTATTTTAAAAATCCATATAAAAATCATTTTAATATTTTTGCATATTCAATAATTCAATCGACAGAAATTTCAGAATTATTTTAGAAAAGTTGTTTTTTCATACCTAGGTTGTCTTGAACTTTTGCATAGACGTTGTCTGCAATTTTAGCGTAGGCACTGTACTTCCTTTTATTTGCACTTTCAGATTTTGATTGTTCTTTATTTATATTTAAAGAAATATTATCATTAACTAACAAAGTAGTTGGTTCAACTGGTGTTACTTTAAATTCACTCGTAGAATTGATGGTTTCGTTTTCCTGAAATTATTAAAGATAAATGAAGTATTTAAAGTAAGACTAATATGTATGAAATAAATATTACACATATGTGCGTTAACTAAAGAAAAACAATAATTGATGAACATTTTAAATGTTGCAAATTATAAAATATCGAAACCAATTTTTTTATTTCTTATATCAAATCCTTACAATGCCACCTATTTTGAAACGAATGAAATGAAATACTGTCCAGGTATTGTTAAAAAAGATTGTTATTAATTATTAAATAATCTATAACTTCTTATTCACTTAAAATTCATACCTGAACCGCCTTCGTATCCACACAATTTGAGTAATTTTCCCCAATAAAATCATTTATTTCATTTATCACTGTTTCATCTTTAATTTCGGAATTTAATTTTTTAACATTATCACCATAAATTGATAATTTTTCACTCTGATTGTTATTTAAATTTATGGACTGAACACTTTCATAATATACATTCTGGCAATTTAGTGCATTATTGTCACCACCTCGTAAAGATTCATTGCGATAATAATTAGATTTGAGATTTGGATTCATGAAATAATTTTCTGCAGTGTCATTTATAATTGGTTGAAGTTCTTGTAGGTATCTTTGCAAACAATAAGATTGCTGATGGTTGGATTTGACTTCTTGATTTTGTGGTGAAATTCCTTCATATGCAGACAAATGCATGTATTGAGCAGTATGGTAAAACATGTGAGGGTAGTTAATTAATTGATCCATAGAGGGTATATATGTATGATCTTCCATTTGAATAACTTTTGTTTATAACGGTTTCATTTAATTTTTTATCACTGGTTAAATGAATATATTACTTTAATCACAGAAATGTAAGGATATTTTGTTCATTTTAAAATTATTTTTTGGCAAAATAATATATTTTCAAAAATTCAAATTTTGCCATTTGAAAAATTTAAGCAATTTTTATAAATTTTTAGAAAGAATATACTTTTTACTTCAAATTTACTCCTTGCATATTATATTTAATTTCATTAATTCTTCAATAATAATAAATTTAGTACTTTCGGTAATTTTCAAACCAACTAAATTTAAATACTATCTGTATTTAGTGTATTCACTTAACGAAATCACAATCAACTAACGAAGGATCTTTGTTCCTTAGAAAATCTTGATGAGATCTTTTCTATGCAATGCTTATAAGATCACTACTACAACCCAATATAAAGAAAAATCTTAGCCTAAGGTTTTT